TTTAAATCATAATCACTATCAAGAAGATTGGTGTCATCAGCAAACATAATAAATTTTAGATTAGGGTCAACAAAAGGCAGATCATTTATGTAAAGAATAAATAATAGTGGTCCAAGTACCGAGCCCTGCGGAACACCACAATTTAGAGATGATTGTTTAGATTCATAATTGTTAATGGTGACATATTGTTTGCAGTCTTTTAAATAACTTTCAAACCAGGACTTAGCTATTCCTCCGATGCCATAATATTCAAGTTTTTGTATCAAAATGTCATGATTAATAGTGTCAAAGGCCTTGGAAAAATCTTATGTTATGCCAATGCTCGTTTTCCCCAAATCAGTTGATTTTCGAATTTGTTCAATGAAATATAAAATGGCCATGTAGGTAGAGTTGAATTTCTGAAATCCAAATTGATAAGTAAAAATAATTTCAAAACGTTCTAAAAAACCAGTGAGTTTGGCGTGCATGAGCTTTTCTAACAATTTAGAAAATACCGATAAAACTGAAATTGGTCTATAGTTCGAAGGATTTGTAGTGACTCCTTTTTTAAATACAGGTGTTACTTTGGCCAATTTGAGGGCGTCTGGGAAAATACCAGATTTAAAAGATAAGTTAAATATATACAAGAGCGGATCAATTAAAAACTGTCTTACAGACTTAATAAGTGATGGTAGAATCCCATCAGGTCCAGGCGAGGAAGATTTTAGAAGACATATTTCTAATTCAAGCTCAGTTTTTGAGGTCTTTTTGAGATAAATAGATGATTGAACTTTTTGAGCTCTTGCTAGGTATTCATAAACAATCGTTTTGCTGAATTAATAAAAAAAATTGAAAAAATCAAAACCATCGAATATCACTTTTGAAACCATCGAATATCAATTTGAAACCATCGAATATCACCTTTCAAAAAGTGATATTCGATGGTTTCAAAAGTGATATTCGATGATTTGGGAATTGTTTGCTAAAATATGATATCTTCATCCACGTATCAATTATATCTTCACGTGATATTCGATCTATATCCTTGTAACCATGGGATAAATACTGGTTATGTACTGGGAGGTTTTGGATGCGGGGTTTTTCCAGAGGGAGATATGCATATCTACCTGAGGGACCGTAGGGACAGAAAGTAGATGTGCATATCTCACGAGGGATGAACCCAATATCCAAACCAACCGTACATAACTGCTTTATCCTATACCAAGTAGAGTTTTCAGTAGCACAAGGTGTAAAAAATAAACAAACCATTCATATGCAAAGTCATTTTATTGCATTTCCACTTTTTTGGAAGCGGGAAGATACGACCCGAAGCGGGAAGATATGCACCGAAGCGGGAGATATGACGGGAGATATGGAGGTTCTTGATATGGAAACCTCAAAATCAGGATACGGGATATATCTTACCAACTTATCTCCCTAAAACCCTACTTGGCATAGGATAAATCAAGATAATTTCTACTCGCATCTAGTCTATTCCACATGTTTGGGAAAAGTGTACAGGAAAATCTCCATGTTCAATTGATGTATGATCAACCCTCATAGGGGTCAATCCAGTTGTCCGAAACCCAGTTGTCCGAAACTCAATTCTCCGAAACCCAGTTGTCTGAAACCAAGTTCTCCGAAAATTAGGGGATCTTATCAAAAAATACAATTTCTTAAAACGAATCTTGTCGCAACCTCTGCGAATCACGACAGCATAACATTTGAATCACGTTGACATCATTGCAAAATTAGGCTAAATATGCTGAGTCAAGACGTTAATTAGCCCACGAAAGTTCATGGGTAACTTGAGAACTACAAAATACAACCAAATACTTTTCGAACGTACAATAGCAATATTTCTCACCCAACGTCTTCATAGTTTTAGGAACGTATTTTAAACGCATGATAGCCAAATATATCAAGATACTATATCTGCCTAAATGAAGTTATCTAGTGTTGACAAAGTTTTGAAATATATTTTATCCAGATCCATCAGAAATTAACTTATCCAATACATTTGTTCATAAGAATTCTTTAATTGTACCTCGTTCCCAATACGTCCTCAGACAGACAAGAAATTGAAGTCACACCCGTTTGTTTGCGTGGCATATTTATACGTATACGCACTTTCTCTGATTATTGTCAAACAAATACATTTCAGGAGAAGAACATAAAAAACAAATGCCTGAAACGAATGCCGAAACATAAATCCCAAGTGATTAAGTTTAGAATGTTTTATTCTTTTACGATTTGATAAGAGACTGAGACTAAGAAATTAAATGCGACGAAATATTTTGACAACGTAATTTGTATACTGTTTTATTCTTAAAGTTCTATACCTTATTTTATCTGTTTCAAAATGTTTCATTTTATTTTGCCTATATAAAAGAGATTGAAGAAGATAAGATAAACTGTTCCGTAATATATATTGTGTTTTAATAACCTTTTTTAGAATCACAATGTAAAATAAATCTCCCGTTCCTGCCATTCTGGTAACGCCATGCAATGGATGCAATTCAAAGTGAGAGAGAGATCTATGAATATCAGAATGCGTCCATGCCATTAATTTGGCCAAATACATGGCATGAAACTGACGTAAGCTTAAGTAAGCTACGCCCCCCCCCTTCTCTGGTAAATTATGACTTTATTTTTCGGAGTAATGGGTTTCGGACAACTGGGTTTCGGGGAATAGTATAGTTTCCATATAGCTTTTGAAATCTCGCTAAATCTCGTTTTTCGTGAGATTTTAAGAGACTTGCATATTAGACCTCTAATGACTTACATTACCTTCTTTTAAATGGTATATTTGAATTCAGTGGAATGTTTTCTCCTAAAATAGCTTTGATTTACACAGTTATGTAATTTGAATAATTTTCTATGACAATTTAAAAAAAGTTGGGCCAAATGTCCATAGATGCAATGCTAAAATTCTTTAAAACCGTGGATTATTTGTATGTCAATCAACATTAGCATGTTTAATCACAACATGTTCATAAACAGGGTCATCATGTGGTATATCATTCAAGTTTTATACAGATTCAACAAACACAATTTGATAAATAATGAAATTAAGCCACTTTTCCAAGATTTTAGCATGTAAGTGAATGGAGCTCTAGCCAGAGTTAAAAGCTGAATAAAAGATGGCAGCACGAGATTTCATTGATTTTTCTGCTATTTAGAAACTATCCTATTGGGTTTCGGACAACTGGGTTTCGGTACCCTGCGTGCAGAGTCTAGTTAAGTCGAAGCTCTCTTTTAAGAAGTGAAGTCAAACGAATGCAAAGGGTAGGGTTTCGGACAACTGGGGTGTCAATATATACGAATCGAATGTATTCTCGTGTGCATTACAATATCCCCATTGAAACATTTTTGGCCTGCAATGGACGTATAATGAATTAGAATATGAGGCCGTGTTATCATTCTAATGTAAAATCATGGTATTTACTGTAGTATTGGGTTGCAAGTTAATATCAGATTCAATGCAAATTAATCATCTAATATCAGATGCGCGATCAGTCCAATAATCTAATTTCAGGTCATCAGTTCGATATCTAGCACTTGTTCTAACGACACGGTATTACTAGACTATCATATTATAAATACACACACATATAAAACAATCAAACTGGTACACGATATATGCACGACTGCTCTTTCAATTGAGTATAAATTTTGAATAACTTAGCCGGAAGCCAAGACATACACGTTTAGACGATGCTATTTTCAGTTCAGTGTAAGAGTAAATGCCCGGATATCGAGGCTTTTTCGTGTAAAGTTTTAACCAAGCATCTAAAATCGGGTTATATTGCGTGTAGAATTTATCGATATCAGGGCCGCTACATGCCAGTGTTGAATGGTATTTCTGGATAAGTGAATTGGTGTTTATCTGGGTAATCAAGGGATTATAGTCATTCAAAGTTACTGAGCATCCAGTTTTGAGACTTCAATTGTGTTGGTGAAGTTACACATATTTCAGTCAAATTCATGCTGAGCACAACATGTTAGTTTCAATTTTATAATCTCTATACATGACCCTGGTGATGAAAAGTCAGAATCAGTCAAAAAACCTAAACCGGAAAACTGTGCTCATTTTGAAAACTAAAAGTGAAGCAACTTTTTTTCTGATATTTCTTACATCAAATGGCAGCCATCTTGTTTTTCCCCTTCAAATTGAACTTGCGGGAAATTCAAAAATTTGAAAAAAAAATTAATCCTTAAATATTTCAAAAATATGATTTTCTTTAAAATTCTTCATGGGTCTTAAGTTATTTCTTCTTTGTATGTCATACATGTTGCCATTGGTGTTTTTTCTATGATAATGACTATTTTTTTGTTTTGTTAAGATACTTATTCTGACTCTCAGCAGGGGGTTAATTATGCATCAAAACTCGTGAAAAAGTAAATATACTTATCAAATATAACTAGGACATTAATAAAAACCATATTTGACATACATTTGACTGAGGGACCAAAAGGGCATATATCCGGACACATCCTTTTCCTTATTAAGAGATCCCTTGAATGACACTGCTCGTGGTTTCGAGAGATGATCATATCAATTCGAAGAAATGTTGGGGTTTGCGTGAAAATGTTAATACGTATAGTACTATCATTTGCGCATCGAAATCGTGACTGCAATTATCTATCTTGGTCAAACAATGGGATTTTTAATGATGTTTTTATTAATGTAACAAGCCAGGTTATAGTTGCTATGACCCTCAGGAGGGAGTATTAGATGCCACATAATGGTATTTACTAATCGTTTTGATGTATTACAGGAAAGGGCAGTACATATGGAATAGTTTAAAGTTTGATTTCGATTTGATTTGGTGAAAATTAAGTCGTTTAATGAACATGGTTGTGCAGAGGTTTTTCTGCGACCCATGGTCTTGCAGCTTTAAATGTTAATAATAAATTTCTAAAGTGGAATAACACAATTGATAATTGTATGTATACTAGCTGATATTGATAGAAATAGTAATTTGAGTATACATCTGTAAAATGTATCTTCATTTTAGTAAAAGAGAAATCCCATTGTGAAAGACCCCCTGATCCAGTAGAAGATGTCATCAGATGTGAAAACTATACAAAACTAGAGAAGAAACTAAAGAAGGAGACCTTTGTTATCTTAAGTGGTAAGAAAATAAAGCTGCAATACTTTTTTCTGCATCATAAAATTTTGCTTTTACACATTTTAAACTCAAAATTACTCGAAATTAATTTAGTCAAAATAAGACTTCCATTTGAAAAAATGCCATTTAACCGTGCGTTTGCATTCTAGATCAAAAGCATGTCCCATTCCACCGTAATTCTTCAGAAACATTTTCCAGAATGACGAGTGTAATTTCACGGGGAGGGAGACACATGTTTACAACACATTAAAAAGTTATTCTTACACCGTTTCTGAAGATAAAATGCACAATTACAGCAATTTCTGTAAAATAATGAGTCAATATACCTATTATCTTTAAAGACTTAATACTGCAAGGTTTTGCTCGTCATTTAGCTACTGCTGCGAATTTCTAAAATTGTTTATAAGATACATTATCTTATACACCGAAAACCAAAATGGCTCTGGACTGATCTACGAATATCAGTTAATGGGTAAATGGAGCTGGATGATTCCTTAAATGGTAGCTTACTCAGTATTCCATTGTATTATCCTATTTATATGTTTGAAGTTTATCCCCGACTTTGTTCCTGAGATCAGTAAAAATGTGCACTTCAGAACGTTCAGTAAACACAAATTGATCATAATGAATCCCACCATTTACCATGAGCTACTGAGTAATAAGTAACGTTTTACATTACAACATGTCAAAAATGTTTTAACGGTTTTAATTTTCAACTGATCATGTGAGACACATTTGCCCCCCTTCCTCCCCCGACATCATACCCTTTGTTTACTGAAAAGAAATGACTGTTAAAATGGCTTTTGGTCACAGGATTTCTATGTCAAACATAGAAATAGCAGTGAAAGTGAATAACATATATCATAATGATACAAAATAATTAAGGTTGCTATTTCCTTACCAATACAGGTCTCTCTGGTTCGGGGAAAACACAGCTTGCGCTGCTCTATGCCAAGAAGTTTATACATGAACATAAGGACAGCACATGCTTTAAGTTCAACTCAAAATCCCCGGAGGATGTTCTCGTCGATGGCAAAAAGTTGATAGATCAATGTAAACTAGACATTCATAGTCCTGACAGTGGCAAAGGTGGAGAAGACAGTATGGAGAACAAAGCCTGGAGGTTACTTGTCCGTATTCGCGAAGACCTTGTCAAGGACAATACAAAAACTTTGTTTATTTTTGACAATGCTACTTTCGAAATAATTTGTATCATCAAAGAGGTGTTTATAAGTAGTAGCTCTTTCATCGTTATAATTACCTCAACAGACCCATCTTTGAAAGGTTTTTACAATGATTTGAAAATCGAAATAAAAGGTTACAGTGATGCCGATGTAAACACCCTAAGTATATGTCAATACAAGAAATTCAACCACGATATACAAAAGTTGGCAAAACGGCTCAACTTTTTACCACTCGGAATACACGCAGCCTGTCAATACATTATTGAGTCTAAAGAAGCTATTCCTGAACTACCAAATCAACTAGATGACAACCCCATAAATGGCTTGTTCCAAATGTTGTACAGAAAAGCTCTCGCGACATGCAAGGATATAAAGGTCAGTCTACTACTCAATATCGTCGCCTTACTAAGCCTTGACCCAATACCCTTTGATGTTCTAGACTGGACGATACGAGTAAGCTATCAATCAAAGCATGATGATACCGAGAAGACAAATGAGAATGGGAATATATCATCAAAATCAGATGAAACAATAGATAAAAGGAACAAATTCCTCGATATCATAAAACGGTTCCATCTCGGGACGGTTGAGACGAATGGTTCGGACACGAAGATGCTTCGAATGCATAGTGCAGCGGTGTTGGCATTACGAAAAGCATGGGAACCTGATGAGTTGATCAAATATTACACACAAATGCTGTTAGTCCTTGATGACCAAGCTGATAAAGACACACGAAGTTCCAAAGACTTTCTGTATTTCCTCAAACTTATTCCCCATGTTAAACATGCTCTGAAAGATGAATATCTTACTTTAGGCAGAAAAGCCAAAGATCTTGGCATCCAGATATTACAAATCAGTCTCCAAGATAAACTGTATTATATGTATACACAAACGAAGCTGATAGGGTACTTCAAGGAGAACGAGTCAAAAGCTAAAAAACTATGCTATCTCCTCATCAATCAAAATCTCTCTCCTGAAGATGCTGAGGCTATCGTGGATAACGAAGTACGGAAGGGCACATGGGATACATTGCAAGATATCGAATTGACTGAATCAAACGTGGATGATGAAGGACAGCGTGGCATGCCGGGGACAGTGCAGAGTTACGGCGAATTAACTGAAGTTGGCTCTAACCTGGAAAAACAGGTTAATATCAATCAGACTGATCTTGAATTCATACAGAAAAAAGCCGAATTGATTTACAATAAACTTGATGAGCTAGAAGTTCCCGTTGAGCCTTTAGACTACATTCAAGAGCTTATTTGTACAAGACGTCTTGATAAAGGTAATGTCGAACTTTTACAAAATAAAATGAAAGAATGGAGCAACAGAAAATGTTGTAATATTCTATGTCAAAGAAAAGATGATAAAACAGATCCTGATTATCCAAGTCAAAATTTACCCAATGATTACCTCATAGAAAGCAGGTACAAATACTTGGAAGAAAAGGGACTAGCAATCAGCTTGGAGAAAATGAGGAAAATGTTCCTTTTGGAGCTCATGGCCTCTATTCTCTACACGCATGGTCGAATGTATTTTTACAAGGATGATAATAAAGAAGAAGCAAGTGTTTATGAACATGACCTGCGCCTCGCGTATGAGCTTTCTGCCCTTATCAAGAAGGAACACGACAAAAGTATAGTCACGTTGCTTTTGGCCAAACGGAATGGCTTTTTATACATCGATGTAAAAAGCAAAGACAGTGAGAGGATAAAACGTGCGACAGATCACTACAAGAAGTTGTTGGATGAAAAGGGAGAATATTATGAGAAAGGATTACTGAAAATAGCAACAAAGGATGATTCGTATCACAAGACAACATGCCGTAAACAATTAGTAACTTGTTACATTTCCGCCGTCAAATGTGAAGATGACTCGAAAAAGAAATTGAAGAAATATGACGAAGGGTGTAAAGAAGCCAGAGCGCTACTCAAAAATATAAAAGAAAGGGACAAACACAACAGGATAGAGGCTTTCATTAAATTTGGTGACCTTGAGATGAAAATGAGTGGAATTCATAAAAAGTATTTGGATAAAGCAATATCCAAATACGAGAAAGCTCTTAAATTAGAGAATGAACTTACCCGGAGAGGTAATAACAGAATTAGAGCTCTTGAGAGTATCACAGAAGCCTTATGCGAACGTAATAAAAAAGATGATTGGAAAAAAGCAATAAGCTATGCAACGAGAGCAATTGAAATTTGCACTAAGGAAAAAATTGAGAAAGATACTATCGTAAAACTCCAGCAACTACTGGAGGTTATGAATAGTCCTTGACTTGTACATGACAGTTCATGCTCAAAAACCGGTTTGCTAAAGCTAGCCGTACACCAATGGGACATTGTCCGAGTTTGTCCCTTTGTCCGTTTTGTCGCAACCTGTCCACTGTTGTCCCCTGGACTTCATCAGGCAATATCGTTATGCCATTTTGTCTGTTTGTACAGCGGCACTTTGTCAGAAAATAGTCATATAATCGTCACGTTATAAAATGACCTTCATTTGTCCGGTAATGGTCCTTGAAAAGAATTAACATTATGTTCATTCTTTACATGGGACATAAATGGACACATAGAGACAAAATCGGACAACAACGGACAATGTCGCGCGGACAAAGTGGGACATAAAGGACAACAACTGACAGTGTCTCTTGATGTCATATGAATGTCCCGTGGGAATGTCCTAGCTTGTAAGTTAATGTCTTATGAAAATATTTTCCTACCCTTTTACACCGGCGCCAGTCCAATGCTTGCTGATGAGCTCTTTGTTCAAAATTGCATTCAAACAAAATACTCATAGGGCTTGACCGGTGTAAAAGGGTAGGAGGTCCTCTCAAATTATGGTTCTACTCTCCATTGATTTATATGATGACCTAAATACAACTCTTTCCCTCATTATCTTATACGCAATTAGGGCCAGTAAGGGCCGTTAAGAAAGGGGACCATAATCCCTGGGGGACCGTCATTTCTTTCACACCGGAACAAATGTGACAACGGACATAAGATTATGTTCTATAGTCATGAATTCGGGAAACTCGTCAACTTGTCAAACTAACCCGATTGTAAAAATGCTTGCTGTGTGTATAACTCCAATATAATGACTAAAAAGAAAAATCATGCAAAAGCCTAAGCTTAGAGTAATACGTCAATATATTGTTTGACAAATTGTAGACCGAATATATTAGGATTAGAAGAACAAAATATAATTCAATCCCCGAAGAAACATCTTAAAGTGACTTTCACGGACTTATTAGAGGCTGAAATTAGGGATTTCAAGAAATCCTTCTCAAGAAAATAGTCTTACCTTATAATAGCATGGGTTCTGTTACTACATTTTGTGGTTTTAAAATATAGGTAAAATGTCTGTATGCAACTTTAACTAAGTTAAACTTGTCAAATGGTATTTTCGCCATATTTCATCCAGTAAATAAGCAAATTCCATGATAATATATTAAGAAGTCTGACTTTATAAATGATACACATGGAAAGGAGAGTTCCTCCTGTCTAGGAACTTGTATTCATTGGATAAAAATAAATAAAATGGTGAAACTAAATACTATTTAAGAAATCACACGGGACCTAAGGAAATATCTGTTAACTCATAATATGAGGTAAAACGGATTCAACACTGATTTGGAATTTGTTTTCAAAAGTCGATGGTTGCGTTTTTGTTTAGCCTGGGCCTTATCAAAAAGATCTTAACCATCGAAGACTGGGTCTAACTTCTAAAGGAAAGCCATCATCAGTAATTGAACTTGTTAGGTTAAAAATAGTTTAATATTGTCATATAGACATAATTATGTCACCACCAAAAAGTGGTGACGTATTTTTATTTCAACTACTTTAGCTATAAGAAATATATACATATTGTAAGCATAATATCAATACATTTCCAAAATTATACTATCCAATCAAGTTGTACAATCCAATCTAGAATTATAGTATCCAATTTATTTAGTAGTTTTATATCACTGTGTGTTGTGAACATGTGTTTAACGTTTATGTTTTCTATTCTTTATTTGTTGTATGGATATATATATATGTAATTGTCAATGACATTTTTCATGTGAATGCTAAATTATAATCTTATAGCTTGTGAGACAATGTGATGAACGTTGTATTGCATGTATAGCAATTTATCATGTATTTTAGTATGTTTGTGAAAATAATATAATAAAGAAATAATTATTGTCGAAATAATATATAATATTATATATATAATAAATAAATAATAATTGCATCTTCACGATAGCTTCGTTCATCTATGTTAATATTTATAATCTCATAACCTCAAACTCATTTGGTTTAAAAATATATGAATCGTTAGGTGCATTTTTGGTACACCCTGTATATAACATATAAAACAATGTAACTGTAACACTTTAACTTATATAATCTCGATAACAGAGAGATTTAGCAACCGCGCTTATACACTGTTTTTAAATCCCTTAAGTGTGTGTACTACGTCATCATTTGATGCGAAGCATATCCATTTATAAGGAACCGTCACTTAAAAAATGTGTTTATATGTGGGTTAAACGTTATCTCTTTTAGACACGGTTAATGGTTAGGAGTGATACTTGGCATGAACTCATATTAGTATACAGTCAACCTTTTAAACAAGATATAATAGAAGAAACTTCATTTTCGGTGAGAAAAGCATTGGAATTGATCGATAAAATATACATTTATAAGTACTAGTACAATGGTAACTGTAATACAGTATACTTTTAACTTTCTGCAAAACATAAATAAATGGCCATGGTTAATCTGAATTCATGAGCTGAAAGTATTCAATTATCACTTGATGGAACCAATTTGTGGCCGATCCTGAAGATGTTTCCACAAACAAGACACTTGGATTATTGTTAACAACAAAATAAGTATCAGAAATGATTTGACACATGACGAGACCATAATGATTTATTTTGATCATGTAATCAGTGTATTCTACCACCCAATCAAACTGCAGACTGTCAGGTATGTATTAAACTTGTATTTATCAGATATTATATAACATATCACCAACTTTAACATTCCTCTAATTACAATGATATGATCATTTAGATCCTCTATGACTTTGTAAGAAAGGTATATTCTATTCGATATTCTATAACCGCATCATCAGACGATGAAATAAATTAGTGCATAAATGAAAGATGGCGTTTGTGTCAAAGTTTTAAAAAACATAGTATTAACAGTACGTTTATGAAAATATCGCAATAATGTACCATTTTTTGTAAATAACGCGCGAGAGTCTTGATTACAGGGTCTTTAACAAGAAGTTATACTAGGTTTCCCATTTTGTTAAAGATATGTTTTGTTCAATTTGAAAGACCTTTGCTCTTAAGCATGTTTTACAAGTGGTATTCTTAGTTTTATTCTTAGTATTGAGAAATCATAAAGTCCTTTATAGTCTATTAGTTCCAGACAGTGACACAGCAGTTGGTTACAGGGGTTGACAAAACCAATAATATTACTTAATTTTGATGAAAAATCGGCCAAAGTAAAACTGTGATACAAAAAACATTCCATGTACAGTGTTATGTACATAAGGCAATAAGAAGTAGATTCTTTGTTTTGCGTACCCTTGCTTGCACGATTTTGAGTAAATCAGAAAAAACAAACACATCCAAATAGCAATCACAAGGGTCTGAAAGTACCATCGCATTTCGTTCAATCAGAATCAGACGAAATGGCGGAAAATTTGATGTGCGTCAAAATTGATTACTTTGGCATACATTGTGTATTTTCTTATTTTTACCCTTGAATAATAGTTCTGTTTAAATATTCTTCAAAATGTATAGATAAGTGTTTGAAATCACTGCAAATTGGTATGTCATCCCTTTTTATGCCCATAAAATGTATACATTTCTCAGCAAACAAAGGATAGGTATCGATATGGTGAACTAAACTCAACAATGTTTTTCTCTTAAACCAATTATTGAAAACATTCTGTAAATAACACAGTCCATGATGTAATGTTGACTGATTGGCTACAATTTCGTGCAAAAATTCTTCTGGCCTAACTAAAAAACAGTTCTGATGTGCGCAAATTTCGAATTCAGAATGTTATTCAAGCAATCAGCTGTGGGGGACCATGAAAGACGTCTATATTGTCCAGTATGACATGTATGAGAAGGATAATTGTACTGTACAAGAAATATAACGACATCTAACTATTGCTTTCCCCCACTCCCCCTACGTTGATTTCAGAATTTTGTCAATGCTTGTAATAGCTTCAAGGGCACCAAGAGGTAGTCCTATATGTTGTCCATGGGGGACAGTGGACTCCGCAGGGTTAATACGAATAAGTGTTCCTTTACCCTTTGATCTTTTAACAATAGTTTCTGCTCTTTCTCTGACTCTAGGCACAGCTAGTCCACTTCCTATTTCAATCACGATAAATGTAGTGCCATCACCGATGAGCTTTTCCTCAAAAGCTTTGAATTCAACTTCCTGGGCGGATGTGCGTGTGTTAATCCAAGTCGCATCATGGAACATTTTGATGTTCGGTCTTGCGAGGTGGGTAGGGTTGCTCGGAGGGCCAAGGGGGAGAGGACTTGAGGCCCTAAGGGTGGACTCTTCGACATGGATATCAAAATTATCGGGCACGGGCCATATAGCATCAGATATACTAACATCAGCACATTGGAGATAATGTATGGTACCATGGCATTCATCTACCCTGTCCTTTGGGAATCCTGCCTTTTGAAAATGTCCATCAACGTTACTTGTGTATACATGGTAACCATTCTCCATTGATTTCGCCCACTTTAACAAAATTCCAAATCCATCATGAGGAGTCGTGTTCTTATATAATTTATAACGATGACCATAGAACCCCCATGCAAATTTAGGATCACTATCAAACCACTTTGGATTTGCCATATCTTGAAGATTTATTCCAGGCTTTTTTAAGGGAGGATATGCTTCCCAGAATCCTCTGTCACCTCTGAAGTCGGGTAGACCTGAATCAACTCCCATACCAGCGCCGGCTGTTATAATCATCGCAGATGCTTGATATATAGCATTAGCAGCATATTCGATGGATAGTCCAACAATTTTCTTAGTGGATGCCATTTTCTGTACAGAATCCTAGTCTTTTGTGGATTCCAAGTTCTCTATAGCTTAATAAATATTTAGTTCTTTCGTGACCCACTTTCAAAATGTTGTTAACATTGTGCCTATGAGACTCTTTGTGACAATCATGTTTACATTTACACCTGTACTTAAAATTCAAAATAACTTTCTTTGTTCATACATTTTAACGTTTTACTCAGTTTTGCACTAAATTCTGAATAAATGACCCAATTTTTGCATTTATTTACAATTAAGAGTTCTGGCTATTTAAGTATAGGCATGCTCTCTTTTCCGATCTTTTTCTAATTTATATCAAGGCAATGGTGATATTTTTCTTACGGGTTTACAATACGCCACTGTATGTTATCAGATATATCATAAATGAACCTTAATATGAGTGCATTTAATGTTATTTACCGTATATTATATACATGTGAAGTAAACGTTTATAAAATAAGTATCATACTTTATTCATGTTATTCTGTATTTCATAGCCAAGGCCTCTGAACTTGATACGATGCTTATGCCTTGGTCATATATTTTCACGTGAGTGGTTCAAGTTTCAGCTTTGTGAGAATGGAAAATTAACAATTTTTGTCCAATCGTATGAAACATGCAGTCTCTTCGCGTAGCTTCAAAAGAATGGTCACGTGATGCCCATCCATCCCATGGTGCAGCTGCTTTTTGGAAGTAATTGTGGGAAATATATTGATGGGGTTTAATCTTAAAGGGCAGACAGGATGCCAATTGATGTGGAACTAATTATAGTCTTGGAATCTTAAAAAACGACATCTTGAGAGGACAAGAAAGACAAGCATATATTTAAGAACACATATCAGAGAGTGAACAATGAATGCAACAACGGACAATGAATGCAACGACGGACAGTGAATGCAACGACGGACAATGAATGCAATAACGGACAATGAATGCAACGACGGACAATGAATGCAACAACGGAAAACGAATACAACGACGGACAATGAATGCAACGACGGACAATGAATGCAACAACGGACAGCGAATGCAACGACGGACAATGAATGCAACGACGGAAAATGAATGCAACGACAGAAAATGAATACAACAACGGACAACGAATGCAATAATGGACAACGAATGTAATAACGGACAATGAATGCAACAACGGACAATGAATGCAACAACGGACAATGAATGCAACAACGGACAACGAATGCAATAACGGACAATGAATGCAACAACGGACAATGAATGCAATAACGGACAATGAATGCAACAACGGAAAGTGAATCTCGACTGAGTCGTGCTAACGATATAACAATCACAGTGGTTTCAGTTCTATCGGTACAAATAGTTTCCGGCAATGGATTGATAGTTGCAGCGGTAGTTAAAAAGAGATTATTACTTACACCAACTCATTTTTTGATTGTAATATTAACAATCATTGACTTCTTAACAGGATGTATCGGTATGCCTCTATATATGTACGCAAATGTTTTCAACATGAAATATTGTCCACTCACATACAGTGTAATTTATATTACATTGCATGTATCTTGTAATATAGTTCTCTTGATAGCAATTGAAAGATATGTTGCTATTTTGCATCCATTCATTTATCAAAAATGGATGAGTTTGAAAAGAATCAAACTGGCAGCTGTTATTGCGTCTCTAGTACCGTTTGTAAACATGGTCTATATTGTGATATGTTATGCTTTATTGCCATCTGGTTTTGGAAATACTAAAGAATGCGATTAATGCCACGGGGTGTTAACCTACTGATGTATTTCCAAAAACATTTAGAATCTTTATTCTTCGAGAGTTGATATTAGTTGGAGCATTAATAGTGGTAATTTATATGAAAATATTAGTAATTGTGCGGAAACAGCTAAGGGATATATCGCTAGTATGGAAATACAAAATTCAGACATTGAAAACAAAAACAACCATGGTATAAAAATCAATAAGAAAGACATTTTACCTGTGTTTGTGGCGGGTTTTCTTATTTTATCATGGCTACCTTTTAGTAATAGTGGCTATATCGGAGTATGAAGAAATGTCATCCTCGTTCATAATGTGGTTCGTTGTCACGACAATAGTCGGACTAAACCCGGCTGTCAATCCAATTGTGTATGGCATATGTCAGAAAGAATATCGAAACGCAGTTAAACAATTATGTCGGAGAAAGACAAATGTTGTAGAGGAAGCTTTTATCATTCAGTCTATTAACTGATGGGTTGAAAAGCGCCATGGGAATTCTGGCTTTTTGATCTATGATAAAAACATGAAGTTATTTAACTGTGAATGCTTTAGAGTCATGATTGTTTGAAAAATAGGCAATAGTACCCCAATAATGGGGTCCTTGGTACTGTAAATACTCCATTTCACTATATTTGTACAATATTATCAATTAAACATTTAGATGTGTATTACTAAAGGCAACTTTTGAAAGAATCAATAAATGTTCAGTTTGGTTACCCTTTTTATGTCCCCACCACATAGTGTGGGGCCATATTGTCGTCCTAGGCGCGTCCGTCCGTCCTTCCGTCTGTCTGTCCGTCTGTCTGTCTGTCCGGCAGTTTTCTCCAAAACCGCTACAGGTATCACCTTCAAAATTTCAGGAATAACTTGTGAGTGCATACAGATGTGGATGAAAAAAAATTAACTCGATAGCTACTTCCTGTCGGCCATTCTAAGGTCAAATGCTAAAATCCTTGTCTTCAAACTTTAAGAAAAACGGCTTCACAGTTGCTTTTAAAACTTTAACATCTTGTTCAGCTCACTTCATTCTACATCTGATTAGGTTTTGGACCTGTTAGCCCAGTCATGTCAGCCATTTTGAATGTCTGAAGAAAAGTTAGCGCGCGATAATACTTTGTATCATATTGAATGGTGTTTTTGAGTTTTCATACTTTAACTATTTGGTAGCTTTATAAATAATTTCAGGTGTACTTTGTTGAAAAAGCCTATGTTATTGTTAACAGTAGTTATATGTGATAATTTTGTAAAAGGAAATCAGCAAAAACTCATAATCACTTTTTTACATTTTGTTTTTTTCGTCCTAAAATCTTGTCTGTAAAGTCTTGTCTACACGTTTTCAGGTGAACCGTTTGGTAGATCAATTTCAAATTTTCAGGGATGATTCTTGGTATGAAAATCTAGATCTGATTAGTTTTTTGGCGTTCTGGGTAAATGTCAAGGCAGCCATTTTGGATTTTCCGTCCTAAAACAGTCAATGCTCATAAAGTGGTTGCGGTATTGCCGCAATGATAGCAGTTGCGCTCATGCCGCAATATTAATGTCAAATTCAGTGCTAATATTATTTATTAAATTTGAGAGTTAAAAAATAAGTATTTATTTACAAAGTAAATAATAAATAAAATCATAATGTTTGGAGGCGGTTTTCTGAAGACAAATAATGATATGCTGATTCCTGACAGGCACAGATATATTTACTCCTGATCTACAACAAAAATGGCGGACTCTGGGTAAGTTGGCACGTTTTTATTTCTATTTGTTCAACTTATTATGTTGGGAGGAAGAGTGTGGGGTATACTCGGCCATGGGTACACGTAAATAAACTCGGGGGAGGGGGGTATGTATGCAATTCTTGGGGGGCGGTCCTATAGGCCTAGGATCAGGACGATCTTTTTTGTAGACACTGGTTGGCCAAATTTCAAATTAAATTCCTTAACTTTATTGTATTTTAATCCACATCAGGGGTTATATCCAAAGCATTTTAGTTACCAGATTTTCTCGCATATAGTACGCTTATACGCCCATGGGCCTATAAAAAATGACTAGATCTATTTATTGATTTTTTCAATAAATTCAAGAGTATTTTGTCATTGGCAGATCGTTCTGTCGTACTTTGTTTCATTGTATTAACATTCATTAACAACTTAACATTCCATTGTATTCATCAGCTCTTCTCACCTTTACGCCCACTGGGCCAAAAATCGAAAGTAGTACACTTATACGCCCATGGGCGAAAAATAAGAGGTAAAATAACAGACGAAATTGCCCCTTCTTTCAGTTATACACCCAGGGCTTATATGCGAGAAAATCCAGTAACTATAGCTATAAACATGGGCTCTACCATGATAGAGCCCATATGCTATAAACGAGATGAGATCCGTCGAACTTCGATGTATGCGGTTACATATTGACCTGACCTAGACTATATCCTATAGTCTGAATTTTTTTTGAAATTTGGATATAGACTAGACCTGACCATGGGGCTTTTTTGACATTGGCTTATATTTCCGTTTAACGAAGTCCACCATGTTTGTTTTTGAAAAATTTTAAAAGAAGATTGAAATCACCAACAGGCGAGATCTTATTCAAGACGACTGACCCAGAAAATATGAATTATCGGCAATTGTCGAAAATAGTTCCCTATGGACTAACAAGGGTCATGTCTTATCCAATTCCAGGACTTATAGTCCTGCACCTCCCTGGTAATCTGGTAATGTTTTCAATCAAACTGTGTCAAATATACAAGTGTATTAGTCGCATAAATATAATTAAAAGCGATGAAATCAAGTTTTGATTTGATTTGAGAGTATGACCTTCCGTTATTATTGATAGTAGGAATCAACGGGGCGGAATCACTCACAGTTAAAAATAAATCAATAAACTACGATCTTTACAAGCTACACTTTTTTACAATTTTTTATCCAATATTGCAAGATTTATGGTACATCCAGGCCGTCCAACTGTCCCGCAATTTGCGTATTTGTCACGCATTTGCTGGAAAATTTGAAGTCACGACAGTTTTGTTTTGCGTGACAGAGTTTGTCATGCAAATATGCAATTTACCTGATTATTGTCCAGCAAAAATATTCCTGTAGAAAAACTTTCAAAAATGATCGGTGATACACCACAAAACCGAACGACGAAAAAAAAATGAACGCATTTCGTTCAGACTTTTCACGCGGATATGGTATATGTCACGCATTTTGCCTGAAATATTTCATACCTGCCCTACTACAAATTCTCAGGTGTTTAAATCTGATGTAAATGTTAATTAACTTTAATGACCTTCTCAAGGTCAAAAAAGATTCATTATATTGTGAGCAATTATGTGGTGACATTTTGACGTGTTAATGCCTTGTTTCAAATTTTGTGATCATGACAAGACTCATATATAGCAGAATAAATATTCACATTTCACAAGTAGTAAAATTTATTATCTAATAATCACGGTGTTATAGCATGACGGTTACGAAAAGGCGATTTGCAAAATTTTGCGGTAATGATTACAAAAAATGGTGGATGGGAAAGACAGCATGTCCTCTTTCTCGCCTGTAGGCAAGATTCACAGATAAGATTCCCTTTTTAACTAGTTCCATTCGGTGACATATATATGGATGGTTATAAAGACTGGGTCAAATCTGCCAGGTGGTTTACTAGAAGCGGAATATAAGCTGTAAACTTACCGACTGAGATGTCCAAGTTCATATTTTTTAGTCCATTCTCGTGATTTCTCAGTATATGTGCCTCAGAGCCACTCAAACTATTAACAGTAAGTAAACTGTATAAACAAGCCATAAAATGACAAATTCAGAACAGGAACGTGGTCATATTGTAAATAATAAGGTTTCAAACGCAATGTCGTTAGACGACTACGTATGAATTCTATGGACGGTAACGTATTGTATTAGATGTACATTAGATGTTCAGCGGACGGAATGAATCTGGGATACATATTTGAATGAGGTTCGCGTAACCGTCAATCAATTTTTGGCGTAACCGCAAATTAAAAATACAATATTATGGCTTAAGTAGAACATATTAGGTGGTTTCCAATGCTCAATTCGCTTTTTATGATCGTATGTTGGTTACATCTATATACCCTGAGGTCGTTAGGCAATGTAGACCATGCCCTGACAACAAAAACAAACAGATTACTAAATTTTGTGAAGTTTTGAATTTCAAACTCAACAGTTTTTCGCTTATTTCATGTTATCCCCGGGCATCAATTTGCAAAAAATATGTTCAAACTATACATTACTAAATGCATCACCGAATGCGATGTCTACAAAAATCGTTCATCCTTTCATTGATACACAGTAGAAGAAAATACTGCACCAACCTTAGTTTTCTGTTCCATCTCGGCCATTTTATTGGATAAATCAGTGATCGTAGTCGTCTAATCTCGTTTTCAGAGGTGTCGTAACCGTCATGCTATAACACCGTGATAATGTCAAATGATAATCCGCAACATGACTTATACATAAGTTTAAATCGAGAAAACAAAAAACTCATATCTAGGAAGTTCATCCATATTGTTCCATTGATGTTCCGTTAAAGTAACTCGTTGTGGAACAGTGATCCATGTAGGGTTAAACTTTGGAAAAATACATGGTCCTCTATTAATTGAAATTTCTACAATGTGCAGATTTTTGGTTCTACTTTTTTTTGAGGATGGGGGTTGGAAGGTTTATAATAAAGACTGGTCAGTGTTTTCCATAGCTAGCCTCAAAATAGTGTTAAACAAATTTTGATCACGACCTTGTCAAGCTACTGTGTTAGATTCCTGGTTTTTAGTCTTAGATGTGTCATTTTCCAGAATAATCAATGAAAGCTAAGTCTGGCAAATATCTCATTTCCATATTATACTTTTTCAGAGAAACTATGAACACAAAGAAAAGGAAAAGGGACAGGATACACATTTCATAACAGTTTGAAGGTAAGGTATCGAAACCATTTTTGTTATTTTCTTACATGACAATGAGGATTTCTTGTGCTGAACCTTTTCTCAATGATACTTTTCCTCATGAAATCTCACTTATTGAAAGCACATTAACATGTGATCAAACTACTCATATTCTTTCTATATCAATACAAAGCCATAATAAAAAGTAGGTATCTTTATGCTTTTGCAGACCGGGCTTACCAGAAGTGCAAGCATTGTGAATTCACAACAAACAAAAGGGGCATGATGGGTCATCATGTTAGGAAAGAACACCCAAGAGGTAAGCCTAATTTTGTAAAGTATATGACCCTGTCATAGGCATTAGGCAGCTGCTTTAGGACAATTCTACAACCAAAATATTTTTTTCTAATTATTAGACTCTATTTAAAAAAAATAGTAATTGGAACTTGGAACTCAATGTCAAGCGTAGGGGCACTGTCTATACTTAAGAATATGAATGTTCCAAATGAAATTTATCAAAAATGTATAGACTCCAAATGACTATTTTTGTGAGCAGCTTCTAACTATACCAGAGGCGGATCTACCCCATTTGCCAGAGTATGGCATCAGTACGCCTGTCAGATTTACCATTTTTTTCCCAAGATAATCAGATGAATGGGGACTCACTAATGTTATATAATATCATTGTATCACTAATGTTATTTAATATCATTGTATCACTTTAATGCTATATAATATCATTGTATACATCTGTACTTAATTGTTTACTTAAACTGTATACAGGGTGTTTCATATGTATGCACCCCCATCAACTCATAATTGTAGTATTGCCAGCCTATCATGTTATAAATCATTTTGTTCCTCATGGAAAGTTATATAAGATTGCAGTTTCAGAATCCAGAGGCGTCCCTGAAAAGGATATAATGTATCAAAGTGTGTGGGCATGGATCATGGGGAAGGAATTTCTGGTCGTTTTGTGGGCAATTTAAAGGAAAAATTTAGTTTCTGTATTTCACATTTCTAGCTAGGGTAGCATATTACATGAATTAGTTTATGGGGGGGGGGGGAGGTGCATACATGTGAAACATGTCAACAGATTGTACGTCTTCTCACATTTCTTAATAGACAGTTTTGTCATTAACTCATGGTGTTTTAAACTTGATTTCTTTCCTGTACCAAATTAATATTAATAAGTTTAATTTAGATAAAGCTGCAGCCCATGGCTATTATTTAATCAGTCATTGCTAGTTACTTTATACAGATTGAACAAAATGTTAAATGGTACCAACTTCCAAATGTTGTATAGCTTTGGTTGACCATCTTTAGTTCTGGTGAAAATTCCATATCTAATTCATGTTGATTATTCTTGTAAGTATGATTTCAGGAAGAATACTCATGAGATATAATTGAATGGTTTTTGAAATGATGAAATAATCTGAACAAAAAAGCACATTTTACCGGTACTTAACACTTTCTAATACCTACCAACAATAGACATTATAATTACACGTACAGACCAAATGAATTAAACTGTTTGTGATTTGTCTTCAAGATGATGGCACTGTGACATGTGGCATTCGTGGATGTGAGGAGGAGGTGCCCAAAGATGGCCTAAAAGCACATGTGTGTGTCCATAAACAGATAAAGGTGAGGTTTGTTATAGATGGTAACTTGGAGCAATTGTTAATAAACTGTATGTTAAAATATCTTATGTTGAGGGCAAATCAAAAGGCCATGGTAAATGGGTGGAGATAAATCAAAATGTACAATAAATTAACTCAATTACTCAGATGCGAGTAGGTAATTACCAGTTTCGCCACCAAGTAGCTAATTCGGGGGAAATGAATAAAAAATCGTAAAATCGTAAACTTCAATATTCATCAGTTTTATTGGTTCATTTTTCATGTTACCCTTATGTATCTTATCGTTTTACAAATTAAAATATGCCCAGTAAAAGAAAATGTTATCTGTCCAACACAAGAAACACAAGAAAAGATATTTCACTTTTTGTGATTTTACAACATGGGGTCTATGGTGAATCTCCTCGACCTAGAAGTAATATTTTCAAAGAAAATTAAATTTGCAAAGTTGATGATCAAGTCTTTTCAAAACCACATTTCTGGATGTGATTTTACATGCAGATTCCAAATCTGACATCAGTTTGACTATTTAATGAAGTAAATCAAGATTATTTCTACTCGCATCTAGTCTATTGAATATGGCCCTTTCTTCCTGAATCACAGAATATCATTGAATCTTATATTGTTTACTGTATTTTTTTTTTTTTAACTTTGACATCACTAGTTTGGTATATTTTATCTATTTTAGAAGATATCAGTCGGAAAATTGAAGATGATATTGAGGCTGCTCCATGTGATATTAAAGAGAAGCTACTTCCAGCATGGAAAAATTGGGTATGTATGAGGCAATTATTAGTAAAACATTCTTTGAACTGAACCAAAAACTTTGTGCCAAAATAAATTGATCTGAGACTTTTCAGGGGGTTTTTCAACTTGAAATAAGTATTTTCTTAAGGAGCAGTTTCCACTTCCTTCATATCCTTCCAACTTGTTATTTTATTTTGGCAGGGTGTTTATCTTGATTTGCCAAGTCATTTAATGTAAGTTTAATAGATTGATTTGAGTGTTCAATCATTTTCAGGTTTACTGGTGCCCATAGATGAAGCGAATGACACAAGGACAGATGGACCAAATGAACAAAACAACATGGGGATACAAGGACAGATGGATCGAATGACACAAGGACAGGTGGACCAAATGAACAAAACAACACGGGGACACAAGGACAGATGGATCGAATGACACAAGGACAGGTGGACCAAATGAACAAAACAGAATGGGGACAGACAGACAGATTGACACAAGGACAGATGGACTGAATGATAATGGGACAGATTGAGAGAGTGACACAAATGGACCGAATGAACAAAACAGCATAGGGACTAATGGGAAGAATGACATGGGTACAGTTCGAGAGAACAACATAGGGTCAGGCGAAGAGAATGACATTGAGACAGATGCACAAATGAACATTGGAAGGGGAGGACAGAATGACATGGGAGAAGATGGCCAAAGTTATACTGGGCCAGTAATACAGAACAACAGGGGTACAGCAGAACAGAACAACATGGAGATAGACAAAGTGAATGAGTTGGAGACAGATGGACAGAACAAAAAGCAGAATGAGATCTCAAATTTGAGAACAAACACACGAATTAAACGGGAATACACCATTTATGGGAGTTCAGACACACAGTGGTATGAAGGTAAGTGGAAAAGGTTGTCAAGAGACTCAAGATTGATAATATTTCTATCCTTTATATTGCAAAAAGTCTGACAGGATATACAGCATGATTTCATTCTTCCATCGATGTTCGAAATGAGTATTGGCCACAAATTTTATATCACTAGCCTTGTTCTGACTTTATATTTAAGAGATTTGAGTTTCAACCTTTGGTTGTCCTTCAGTCACAATCAAAATGTCAAAAAAAGTTTTTTCAAATTGATTTTTGGATCCAAATTAAATCTTCCTAAACACAAAGTACCTACTGAGGTCTGAAAAAGTAAAATCATCAAGGTCAAAAGTTGAGGTTATCAAACTTGATCACAAACATTGTCAGCAACATATTGGAGGTCAAAAAGGTATTTTTAACTTGCCCAAATGTTTTTTCAATATCTGTATCACTTTTGAAACCATTCACAGGTGGTGACATTTTGTCATGTTAATGCCTTGTTTGCCATTTTCTTGTTAAAACTCTTTAAATGTCGTAAAGCCGTATTTTGCTTTAAGTAAGCAACACTTGCAACTTGCAAGTAGAAATATGTATGATGAGATATGATATAGTAGCAGTGGCTTTATTCGTATTATGTTTCTATTTCCAGGCACAATAACCACACGGAAAAAGAAGTGCATAACAGTATCCTTGGATAATGGTGACGAGACATCAATGACCCTCAAACACGCAAATTATTGCCTAAAGCAAAATAATTTGGTTATAATAGACTGACTACAATAACTGCCAGATTCTAACTTTTTGCATATAAATGCCTTGTATAATATAAGTTCATTGCAAAATACAATGGTGGTGAAATAAGCATGGAAATACAAGAATAGCATTTGAACAACTTAAGAACTTCAGCCAGTGACTTTTTGCTTGTAAATGCCTTGTATATTACTGTAAGTTTATTAGTATTGTAAATATTGTATAATATATTGATGGTGAAATAAGCCTACAAATGTAAGAATAGCATTTTTACAACTTTCTAACAATTACCAGACTTTTTTTCTGAAAATGATTTTTTTAAATTGAAACCAGGTACTGACATTTTGTCATGTTAATGCCTTGTTACAACTTCGTAGCAATTACCAGATGATGACTTTTTGAATGAAAATGCCTTGTTAATTATTGTTCAAGTTGTATTGTTCTTCAAAATTATTAAGGTGTTCTAAGAAGTTCAGATCTGACCTTAGATGGGAGATTTGATATTCAATGACCTCAAGTTCAAATAAGTCCTTGATTCAGATTCACCAATTTTTTTCTCAGAAGTTTTTTACTTAGATTAGATATTTCACCTTGGTTGAAGTTTTTGGATCCATTTTTTAAAAAATTGAAACCAAGTGCTGACATTTTGTCATTTTGACAATTGCCAGATGATGACTGTTTGTATGTAAATTATAATGATGCATATGTTTATTGTACAATGTATTAGTCTTGAAATAGGCTCTGTATACAAATACAAGTATAGCATTTTGTATTTCCCATTTGTTGTAAAACTAAATGTCAAAAATAAACTAGATATGAGATATACATATTTGCAATTGGTTCTTTATTATTATTATTAGGAGTTTGATATTCATCATACAGGTATTTATACTAATATCTCCAAAATGTTGCAATTCATAATTGTGGATCAAAATCGAATATGCCCATCTTTAGGATTGAGGACTATTGTCTAATTGTAGACATAAAAACTTACAAACGCTTATATGAAAAACAACTTGCATCAGTATTGCTTTGAAGTTTCATCAACCCCATACATCTTCATTTAACCTTTTTTAAAACGTTGACATAAGAAATGAAAAATGGCCGAAATGAATAGCTAGGCCTTTAAAAATTTGACGATTTGCATCATAATTTATGTATTGAATAATCTTACAATATTTGTGACATGAGTGAAATGTTTCTCATTGAAACCGACCACATGATCTATGGTTATTCCCGGTCGTCTGCAATATCCACTTACAGTCTCGTTTTCAACCGAATACACCATGAAGTCAAGTATGGTAGGCTATGTACCACGCTAAAAGAAGGTTCTCATGTATAGCGTATTGCAGGTACAGGGTGGTAAAAAAATTGGAAGCCCTGCCACTATTTTCATCATATCTCACCATTGCGCTGTAGGCAAACATGCTCAAGTAATTCAAAATGTCCTTATCTCGGGTTACTTTCCTTTTACCTGTAGGGATATACCGAAGACAAAGTGTACAAGAATGGCCTCATCGGAACAATTGCAGACCTTAAAAGGGAGATTATCTGTGCCATTCAGGCCATAGGCTCTAAGGAATAAAGTCGGGTCATTGACCACGTGTGCAGGTTTGCATGCAGCATGTTCAAAGTTCTGTTATATAGTGACTATTAGGCTGATGGTCATGTAATATGCTAGGCTAGTTGGAAATGGAATGTTGTACAAAGGTGTAAAATATCAGGTAGTAATTTTCTATAATGACAAAGATATGAGGAAGACGCATGGTTTCCGTTTTTTGACCACCCTGTAACGGTATATTAGATTACGTTTTCTCCTGACTAGCCAAGATACAGCTTTACCCCATGCAAGATATTGCCATTTTTCATCCTAAGAAGTCACACGTGTAAGATGAAAAAAACGTTCTTGTACTCGTACCTGTGCAAAATCGTCCATTCTTGAGGCGCTTTGATAATGTTTCTTTATCTCGTCTGCGACTCGATAAAGAATCATCAAAGCTCATCAAGAATGGATGATCTTGCACTGGTACTCATATAAGAACCTTTATATTCCAGTCATAGAAGTGACAAGCGTTAGTGTTCATTCATGCTGTTGTTGCAGCTCTTTCATGTAACACAACTGTAATACATGTTACCGTTAACTACAATATAAGGCCAAATAACTCTCCGACAATGGACAAGAAATCCATTTAAGATATGTTTAAAAAGCATCACTGATCGCCACAATAAATCCATTTGAAATATACAATGCTTGTATCTGGAAAGATATGCAACCGTTTCGTATATTCCCTGAGTAAAGTGAGAGACAAACCAATGGGCAGGATGGATGGAAAAACACAAAAACGGAAATTATTAGGAAACTTTCAACTGTTGGATTACACATTTGTCTTTTGTTCAGCTAAGCATGACGAAATTTATAAAAAAAACTTCATATTTGCTGATCATGTATACGAAATCATTGAATTTTAGACAGTCTAAAGGTAAATCGATACTCAGCCCTATGGTGAGAACACACTCTGGTGCTGATCCTAGTTCTTTTATTATATTAATTTCCAGGGAAAATGTTGTATATCATGCTTTTCTGAGTGTCTCAAATTTCGCGCATTTATTAATCATCTGAAACGCTCATGTAGGTCCTCCAAGACTTTTACCCCATCTGTATTTATCGATAATGTCCCCAATTTAGGTATGGTGGCGTGCACACCCCTGAAGTATAGAACGTCTGATATGTATATTTATATGGTAGTGTTCATATATGATATGATGCTGTGGTGTTTGATTCTCAGCGGAAGCATCTTTTCAAGACCATGGTGATTTGAGACTTCATACTTTCCAATAATGTCGAGATACACATCCCTTAAGTTTTTTTATACAGTAAAACCTGTTTAATCCGAACGCCATTGGGACCGGCTAAAAGCGTTAATATTAGGAGGTGTTCACATTTCAAGGTTTTTGCATTCGCAATATTCCGGATTCTGAGGAAATGTGAACACATTCTAGATATATATTTATAGTTCTTCTGACCACATAGCTTTCAATGGCATTCCTGAAATTCGAAAATTCGATTCAAATGTATCTAGTCATGCTTGAAAGTCCCATTATAATTGACACCATTCTAGATTTTTTCCAAAGTTTTGATATCATGACAATATTTGAGCAATTTTGTATGAAACATCAGAAATTTTATGAAAAGTGTTCAGATTAGACAAGTGAATTTTTCAAATATGACTGTTCACTGTTCAAATTGGGAGGTGTTCACATTATAAGTTTTTTTTAACATGGGCGTCAATGGGAGGAAAAAATTGAACCGAAAAAAGTGTTCAGATTGGGAGGTGTTCGGATTAGCCACGTGTTCAGATATAGAGGTTCTACTGTATTTTACATTTTGTAAACTTTCATCTACTGATGATATAGTCTCTTGAAAATTCTCTTCCTTTTAACATGGGAAATACTCACTTCAGCAAATCCTGGTGTCATTTATTTATGGTGAGCACTGTACACAATCTTCATCAAGCCTCAACTAGACACAATACTTCTCTCTTTCTCTCCAAGCCATACATGTTCACAATAGTCCTCACTGAGCCTCAACTAAACAATACTTCTCTCCAAGCCTTCCCTGTGCACAATACTCCTCAATGAGCCTCATAGTAATGCATAGTAATTCATGGGATCTGGTTTATTATACTTTCATGGATTTTCCTTCTTTCAAAGTGCATACGCCTCATTCAATAAACTAGAAGAATTACTTGGGTATCCTTATAACATTTTCTTCATTACATGCTGATAAATATGAAATAAAGATTAAATTATAGATAAACAGAACTACAAAGTTCAATTAATTCGAAACCATTTATTTCAATAATATACTTGTACATGCAGAGCCCAAAACCTTTGGAACTTCATCATCATTCATAAGATATAAGATGACCCATCAAGTAGATACGAAACATTATTCGGGAAATGCCAGCACATTTCCAATTGATTCCCTAAAAGAAATCTGCCAGGCTGGCTACTCAAAGTGGATATTATGAACATAGTTTACCATAATTTAAACAATTATATATTCTCCAAATATATGAACTCCAAAAAGACAAGTGAAATAATTTGTTGCCTTATAGGTACAGGGTGAGCCAAAAAAGGTAACCCATCCAAATGTATGTTTATTAACTCAGTCATTCAGCATGGGTTTAAAATCATATTTGGCACAATTAAACCTTGTTCAATGTACTTTCATTCTACTAAGTGTCATTGATTTATCCCTGATAGCCACAATTTCATGGCCATTTACAAAACATACTCAAAATGCCAAAATGTGCCTCACTGACTGGACATAAATCCTACCAGATTTTTATCTGTAGGCCTATTTTTTACACTTACAACACTTAAAACATTGAAACAAGAGATTACAACACTAAACCCATGCAGGATGACTGAGTAATTAAGATTTGATATGGTTACTTTTTTGGCTCACCCTGTATATAACTGACAGGGAGAGCTATCATTTCTTGACCCTAAATTTGGATTACCAGAACTCTTGAAATAACTCAAGCAGGTATTCAAAGTGTCATTGAACAAAGTGTCATTGAACAAAATGTCAAATTTTTTACATGCAGTTATATTAGTGCATGTCATTCATATGCTCTATGATACAGTAGCAGTGGAATCTGTAAAGTAGGACACCTATAATAAAAAGTAGAACATCTATACTAGTGGAACACTTGACCAAGACCAATTGAGTTAATGTTAAATGAACCTTTATAAGTACAACCTCCAATGAGGGACACTTTTTAGATGTACTGAAGGTGTTCAACTTATTACTGTTTTACTCTTCACTGAAAATACATAGTAGGGAGTTTAAGCTTGCATATAAAATCCAAATGCAAACCTCAATGTATGACCCATCACCCATACAAATGCATCATTTAAATAACTTCAATACACCTCTAGGTTGTGAAAAAAACAATGCAAGCTTAAACTCCCTATTAACAGGTTGAAAGTAACATAGATTTTATAAATAGAATACTGTGGATGTGAATGGAATTTCAACAAAATCCATTACATTGATACAAATGAAGTTGATATTGGAGAATGATATTGGAAAATTTCAAGATTTGGCCTTTTCAATTTTTGACCTCTCAATTTGTAATGAATGCTTGGGTTAATTTGGGCCCGCTTTGATTTGGCAGAATAGACCAAAAACACCAATTTACATCTTCGCCAAAATTTAGAAAGGATCTCTGGGAATTTGATTTGGTGTGTTTAAGTCAGTTTTAACAAATCTAAAAAGGATAAAAGTGATAATAAGAAAATGCCACTTCTAAATTGGCTCAGGGGAACTGCTTAAAATATAGTAGTTGAATTGTAGGAATGGATGTAACAATTTATATTTTGTTCCAGTGTATATGGGAGTTGTGGTGTCAGAGCATGTTCAAGCCCCAGTGTCCGCCAAATTAAATAGCCAAAAAAGTGGCAAAATCGCCAAATGAACCCAATCTACAGTACGCCACAAGAAATAATGAAGTATAGGCTATAGAAAACTTAGAGAAACTTCAAAAACTTAGATTTGACCTGGATTGTTTGAGTTAGTTTTAGACATTAAAGTTTCGATACTTTTTAATTTACATTAATATTATGATCCTTTCACTGACTCATCATTTAATGATGTATCACTTTTTATAGAACAAAGTTCAGACAATATTAAATTGTGTATTGTTTTCTTGTCCCATTCTTTCCTCTTGGTCTGATTCTATGTCTGACAAGTCTGACAATTCAGAATCATCATCACTCTCCGAGGTGTTGTCAACAATTGTTTCATCAAGCATAGGCCTCATCATTAAAGAAAGGTAAACCCACCAATCCTTTCATATATGTAGCATCGTTGATATTGTTTACATCCATTTCCATTCCTACATTTCCATTTGTATCTTTAGACTTGTAATATAATAGAAATTGTTTCATTTCTTTTTTAAGGAGGACCTCTTCCTCTTTAAGTCTTTCAAATGATTCTTTCTTATTAACAAGGTCTCTTTTCTTCCCCAGAGTAATGTCCGACCTCCATGGGAAATCAGCTTTCAGAATACATCCCATTTCGGTTGAATTTATTTGTACTTCATTTTCTATATCTTGTGCAGCAATGTTGTATATTTCCACTGCATTCTCAATTGCTTTCTTTGTCTTTTGGTTGGCCCTTCTCAGCTTGTGGCATTCCTTACTTGTCTCTGAAAAATTCAAACAACCAAGTTCCTGAATATGTTAATCTTGTATTGATGGGATATCATACATTGTAATGTCTAAAACTAACCATTATTGCAGTATTAATGCTCATCCCCTAATAAGCCCCCACCCCACTTTCAAGGCTTAGATGCAAATCCACTGTACCTATTTCCAAAAAACATAATCACATTATACTAGAATGATACTATTGTGATTGTTCAGAGGTAACAAATGTTTCACTTTGTAATAACTAGGAAAGCAAATCATATAAATATAAATAAATAACAAAAAATAAATCATAAGATAGCTTACCGGTAACTATTCTTGGTTGTCCATTGTTTAAAGCATTGAAAACATCTTCTTGTTTTCTCAGCTGAAAATATTCTACCTCGGGAGAAACACCATTCCTATTTGTAGAATCTGGAAAAGGTGAAAAATGATATAAAACTACAAATCAGCAACTCCACGGAGTAGCAAATCCCAATGAACACTGCATACATGAATCTGTAAATGGCTCAATGTAATATTTAAAATCTATTCTAACCTTTATTAAATTGGCAGATATTCCATTTAGGAGTTTCAAAGGCACAAATGATAGACATTAGAATGTTTGAGATCTAATAGAGTATTATGTAATCTTAATTTGAAAATGACAACTGCAACAACAAAAAAATTCGACAAACAATGGAGCATGTTGTTAGGTCATCACATGATATATCCTACCTTGAACATGATCAAGTATATCATATTCCTTGTACTTTGCAAGGTCTTCTTCAGCCTCAGCAACCATTTTCTCACCTATTTGAAATAAAAAGTTTTGACATACAGGCCAAAAATTGCTAGCAAAGGATTGTTTCCTGCATATACATCCAGGGGTTCCACTAGAATTTTTCACAGCAGACTAAGTAAATGAAAACAGCAGGCAATATTAATGGAAATCATAAATTCAACATGGAAAAGTTGAAAAGTCCCTCAAAACAATGGGCGATTATATGAAAACAACTGCTGAAAATCGCTTGTTGCCTGCTGCTAATGAAGTCCCTGTACATCTATTCCTGGTTTTCTATACATTTGAAAAATATGACAAATAAAGGATTAACACAGGGAACTCTGAACTCAAGCTCAAATTATTACAATGTAAAGTAAAACCCATCCGAGTGGACACATCTCTCAAGTGAACACCTGTATCTAGTTAACACCCTTCCTCTCCCCACATACTCTACTGACTTTTGTAGAAATTATCCTCTCTGGAGTGAACAGCTACAAACCCTGAACGTTTTCTCAGTAAAAAAATGTTCAATATACACAGGTTTTACTGTAGTTGATAATGTGCAGTTCTTTCTGTTTCAAACATATTCCATGTACAGGGTGATCCTGATGTAACTTCAAAGATATTGCATTTCCATACTGAATCTCAAACAAAACTAAGTGTATACAAAATATAGAGTCTATTTTTGATTGGTTGATTTTGAAAGATTATTCTAATTTATTCAGCCTATCAAGTCGAGAGTTTTATTTACCCCATATGACATCACGATGGGTTACCATGGTAACCATGAAACGAATCACATTGTTAACTAAGACATTTTTGTGGAAAATCTGTTTTAAGTTTCAAGATGACTGTCAAGTAGAATTGAATTGACAAAACCTTTGAAGTTACATCTGGATCAATTTATATAAAGATACCTTCCTATATCTTCGAGTTAAATACTCCAGGAGCGACTTCACTTTCTTCGTTCCCCAAAATGAAACGAGACGTGTGATCACCTCCTCTCTTCCTATAAAAGTGAGGCAAAGAAATGTGTAAATCATTTGTTTTATGTTTTCTTCTGACTATACCTGCAGACAAATGGTATGGAGGCATTCTTTATTGATAATTTGTTTGAAAATGTATAATTTACTATTACTTAGTTATTGACTTCAACTGTTTGAATATAGTTAACAATTTTACTCACTAGCACAACCCATGTATTTGGAGGGCTTGCAAGCATTGGATGTTGTCCAAGCACCCTTCTTCCAATCACCACCCCACATTATCTGAAAATACATATGTTCAGTTTTGTAACTGGATGATCAGGAGCTTGATATAGCAAAATACATACTGCCGATAGGAATTTTGCCCACCTCCAGCTCCTGATCATCCAGTATTTGTTTTTTATGCACTTCTCAATCAAGATACTGAGTGTACATCTTTTAAGAATTTCTGGTTTTCTTAAAACTCAAGATGGCGTCCTATACACCAAACAAAAACAAAAAACGTTGTACCAGGAATTTTCTTTTTCATTTAATATAGTTTTTGTACTGTATATGTTATGCTTTGCTGTATATTCCATATCATTGAAGCTAATAATAAAAAGGTATTCTCAGTATTCAAAAAAGGAACACTTATATACCAAGAATATATAAGACTATATATTGTAGCTAAATACTTTTTCTTACCTGGCATGTAGAAGAATGGCCTTTGGCCATAGGAGTGCATACAGTGTGCATAAGCGAATATCTCCCCTTGGAACATGTTTAGAAGTTTAGGAGGTATAACATGTCTGCATGTAGAGCCAAATACACCAGTTTGGTCAAGACGTGCCATCCTATGCGAGCTCTCTTTAGCAGCTTTCCAGTGGCTTTGTCCACAAACATCAACTTCTGAGTTCTACAAAAAGAATATAGCACTTATTTTGAACACAACTGAATGAAACATTTCATAAGTAAATAATTTGCCCAGATAATTGTGGCAAGATTTTGTCACACTTTCATATGGATGGATGGAGGGTTTCACTTTATCCCAACCAAACTTTGTTAGCTTGGATAATAAAGGTATGAATACATGTTAATTGCTTTCATATTTATGGTATTAGAATGAGTTTTTCTACTTTAATAGGCCATGAAATGAATTCTCTGATATTTAACAGAGAATCTATTTTTTAAGGCCCAATGTCTTTTGTTATTAAATTTACTTACAGGGGTAAGATCACTGCTGATCTTTTTAAGATGACGTACTGGTCGACTTCTTCATCTGGGGTGAACAGTTCAGATCCAAAATATGATTTTCTTTCTCCCCTAATAAAAAAAATAATAAAAAACAAATCATAGAAACAATCAGGATGAAAAAACAATATAATGAATAACAGGATATCTGTTGTAAGATATGTGATGTGTTAACATTCCTAACTTATACATTTTTATGCCATCAAGTATTCACATATCATCACATATGAAAAAAAATAAAACAGTCCATTGGTTTTTGAGTTTTGGCAATAATCATAGACAAGGCATTAACATGCAAACTGTCACCACCTGTCATTTGTTACAGACAGCAACTGCCGAACACCAACCACTGAACACCAAACACAAAAAAAGTTGGTGACCATAACAATATGTCACATGCAAGACTGCTTTAAAACCCACACACTAATTACATGCTCAGCCTTTTTATCTTCATATTTCCATCAATCATAATAGAATGGGTACTTAAATCACTTAACATACCTTAAGAATATCTATCTTTGACTGTGGTTTGTTTGTTGGTTGTCTTGGAACCCAAGCAGGATTGCTACTATTCCAAATAATATCAAAGAGTGGTTCTGGCTGTATTCTCGATATTGAGGGATATAATGGCTGGCCATCTTCATCCACACAGTCAAGGTCAAGGTCTTTAGAGGCAACTTTCTTAAAGTTTTCAATCGTAAAGGGCCCATTGTCTTTGATGTACCATGTCCAAAAATTCACTGTGTCTCCAGTTTTTTGAGTCCTCCAATATGCATCAGCAACAAGCCTTCGCTGTGGTAAGGTGCCTATTTCATGCTCATGCTTATTATCATACTTCACGCCACGCTTGATTCTGGAATACAAACATTCATCTTTAACTTTTAATTACGGACAGATTTATAATAATGGGAGGCTTATAGGCATCAATGTTCAGTATAAATTTCCACTGGATTTTAAATATTTTTTGAACCATTAGTAAGATACTGTAGATTTGGTTAATTTGGTGCCCGCTTTAATTTGGCGAATTTGGCGAAATTGTAAAATTCGCCAATATAAATCTTCGCCAAAATTTAGAATGAATCCCCGGGAATTATCTAGGGTATTTTGTCCAGTGTATTTAGGTCACTTCCGGTTAAGTTTTTTCCAAAAATATGAAAAAAAGTCTCATAAATTGGCTCAGAACTGGTCAGTCACCCATTAATACTCAGGGAAAAACTAGAAAGGAAAAGCGCGGTATAGTAGCAACATCGATCGAAGTGCAAAATGTAAAGGTTGATCTCACAAAAATGTACAAACATGGTGAATATCGCCAGTGGTCCTGAAAAGAAAAAATGAACATAGCCAAACATGCCCAATTTTTTGCATATCCGCCAAATTAAATAGCCGCCAATATGCCAAAAATGGCAAAATCGTCAAATTAACCCAATCTACAGTAACAGAAATTCTGTTTTGACCTCGAGTCAGTTTGACTAGTTCAACATATCATTTACATGACCAGGATCACAATGTACATGGTCAGAGGGCTGAAAAAATTATTTCATCATGTTTAGGGTCATTCTGACCATGTACATTGTGATCCTGGTCATGTAAATGATATTTGGCACTAGTCAAACTGACTGGAGGTCAAAACAGAACTTTGTTATCCACAGGAAGATTAGGACTTGAGACATACGAGGGCTCTCCCTGATCTTCCATACAAACCCCTGTGCTGTTATCTTGGTTCAAAAAATCTTCAAAATTCAGTATGGTTTTGTCACTTCCTGTTTTGGCATTTCCTGTCAGGACCATGGCACCTCAAGATCATGCCTGTTGGAGATTTCAATTTATTTTTAAAAAAATTCAAAAAACAAACATGCCGACTTCGTGAATCGAAAATATAAGCCAATGTCGAAATAACCCCATGGTCGAAATAGCCCCATGACCATAGATCTCGGCCAGATTCTTTTGTAGTAGGATCAGTAGCTCAATAATTATTCTTTGAGCCTATGAGATCCTACTACAAAACGATCTGGCCAATATCTGTGCCCATGACGAAGTAAACCCATGGATGAAGTTCGACGGATCTCCCCTTTACTATGATTTTTTCGGTTAACATGCCCCAATACGAAATCTTTATTGAGATGGTACAATTGAAGGCTACCCACACTGTCCTCCTACAGTTGGGGACAAAAATAAATGACAGGTCGATTTTCGATCACCATTTCCTAATTATGGTGGTCTGAAAGCCCATAATTTCCAATATTGTCTAGATACATATCCCTTAAAATTTGTATATTTTACATTTTGTATAATCTCATCCACTGATTTATGGCCTCTTGTAAATTCTCTTATTTTTAACATGGGAAATCCTCACTTCAGCAAATCCACCTGTCATTTATTTATGTCCCCAACTGTAAAGAGAAAGGTGCAATTCCTCTCAGAGAATATTGCATCTCCCTCACACTGGGCTTGTATTGAAGATAAGGGAGGGTCTAGGAACACACGAGGTCATTGTTCGATACCCCATTCAAGCCCCTGTATTATTATTAAATACTCCCATCTTATGTTTTGGGAATGGCTGGAATGGAAAATAATTCGAAAAATAATTTCTACTTCTTACCTGGAACGACTTTCGGCATTTTTGTAGACTAGATAGATTGTTGTTGCTATGCTATGTTTGAACGTGGAACTAATGATCTCTCCTTTACAAGATAGAATGCAGCAAGGTTTCCCAATGATATAATATTTAGCCATTTATTCAAGAAATCATTCCTCTTGAAAACGCATGCAGCGCGCCATTTTTAAAAAATACGGAGTGAATACGATACGCAAGCATTATTATCTAAAAGTCTATCATATAACTCCAATCTGTGATGATTCGTCATACTATTCTATTTAAATTAATAGTGAACCCAAAATATAATTTTTAAATACTCAAATTTAATAAATAATATTAGCACTGAATTTGACATTAATATTGCGGCATGAGCACAACTGCTACGGTTGCGGGAATACCGCAATGGCATTAGGAGTATTGACTGCCTAAAATCTTGTCTGTAAAGTCTTGTCTACGCATTTCCAGGTGAACCGTTTGTTAGATCAATTTCAAATTTTCAGCGATGATTCTTTGTATGAAAACCTAGATCTGATTAGTTTTTTGGCATTCTGGGTAAATGTCAAGGCAGCCATTTTGGATTTTCTGTCCTAAAATCTTGTCTGTAAAGTCTTGTCTACGCGTTTTCAGGTGAACCGTTTGGTAGATCAATTTCAACTTTTCAGGGACGATTCTTAGTATGAAAATCTAGAACTGATTAGTTTTTTGACATTCTGGGTAAATGTCAAGGCAGCCATTTTGGATTTTCCATCCAAAAATCTTGTCTGTAAAGTCTTGTTTAACTGTTTGACGGATCAATTTCAAATTTTCAGGGGTGGTTCTTAGTATGAAAATCTAGAACAAGCTAATTTTTGGGGATGCTGGGTAAATTTTAAGGCGGCCATTTTGGACTTTCCGTCCTCAAATTGTGTCAGTAAAGTCTTGTCTACTCATTTTCAGGATAACCATTTGATGGGATCACCCATTGGTGGGGACATTTTGTACACATTTTTGTTCTTGTTGTAATTGTTAACATTTTGGGACGACATTTTAATATGAACATCAAGTCCCTTGGGAGGATGATTTCTCATCGCATTAAATATTACCATATATATGTCAATCTCGGCCTCAAACTTATCGAGAGATGGGTCAATCACAGGGACAGTCTCTCTGGATTGCTTAGGGGTAAGAAATGTCTTTTCTGCCATTCCGACAAGACCCGGAGTAAATATATTGCGTATGAATGGTGCCAAGAAATGGAATCATGTACATTTTCAATGAAGAGTAAACAACTAGCTGGATGCATAGATTTCAAAAGGTGGTCCCGCCACGAAAAGGTGGGTCTCGCAAAAACTGATGGAATAGGCTACCGCTTTCCTGGACCGTTGATCAGCTCAGATAGTTGCATGGACCCCGAATATGTACAAAAACCCAATAACCAAGTTACCCCCTTCCCTATTTGAATTTAGACAAGTGTTGCCTCGGAAATGCACTAAAAGCCACCATTTTAATAAGTTTAAATTGTAAAATTCCCGGGAATTCCAAGTCAAATTTGTACACTGGAAGAAATAAAGTTAACGAAAATTGTGCAATATTTGTTAATTTGCAGTTTACACATTGTAAAACCTTAATTACCGGGGCACTTTAGCGTTTCGTTCAGCTACTTTCAATCTCTCTCATGAAAACGAGGCCCTAATTTATTTATCCAGTTCCGACCAATCAGAACCTTTTTAATTTTGATTTCAACCAATCAGATCCATTACATTCATAATTTTACTTCCATACTTTTTTATTCCAAAACTCTTCACTTTCACGTCATTTCTCACACAGTATGCATCTACATGTACTTTCAGGTAATAGTTTTGCAATTTTATTTTATCAAATACCTCGCTCAAGCATAAAGCATTATATTATTTCACTTGTAAATTATTTTCATCAAACAGTTTGCAAGGTTTGGTGTCCTATATTGTATCCGTTCACCTTTATATTAATTTTGAACTATTAATTTTATTGAATATATTCACATATTCATATTTACTTTCACGTCTTTTTAGAAAAATCTGGTCTTCAAATGAATGATCATGTGATCGGGCAGAGACCAATAGAAAAGGATCTTCGGCTGTGGTCCAATCACTGAACTCATAACGATACTGAGTAGGATATCGACGACCTAAGCTCTTGACCAATCACTCGTCTCGTACTGTCCCGATCGGGAGGTAATCGGCTTCTTGGAAGAACACATCGTTGTTATATGATTTTGACGAAATAAAATTGCCACAGGTAAGATTCTTATCTAATCTATTTTCAATGGAGAGTATTTGATTTTAGCATTGCCTTACCCTGCGTCAACAGAACACAATTATGTTTTATTCAATTTGGGTCAAACGAATTCATGTTGCGTGTACACTGTACGATGTAATGTAAGGGCTAGACATAGCGTCCAAAACCTGATATTAAGGTTCAGCTGGAAAGTAACATTTTGGTAAAAAATTGCTATACCTGCACATGTTATTTTCTGGTACAAAATTAAGTATGAAGGCATGTGTGTATTTCCTTGCTTTTTTCAGGAAAGTATCATTACACTGTCTACTTTTAGTAAACCTGGAAACAGGTCAATGGTAGCTCCTGTGTTGTCTGGAAACTTTGAAAGAAAATTTGGAAAAAAAGAAAGTGTGAAATATCAGAATTTCCTGAAGTTCCCATTGAACTCCTACCAGATATTCTTAAAGAAGACAGTGTAATGATACTTTCCTGAAAAAAGCAAGGCAATTGACACATGTCTTCATACTTTATTTTGTACCAGAAAATAACATGTGCTGGTATAGCAATTTTTTACCAAAATGTTACTTTCCAGCTGTACCTTAAAGAGCTTTCGATATAAGTTGTTTCGAAAACATTTACGTAAACTTGTACTTGTCACACAAAAATCGATTTGAAATTGATTTTCATAGGTTGTACCAAGTTCACATAAATAGTTTCCAAATTGTAAACCCTATTCATCAATCAGTGACTGCGACTATGTCGCATCGATGTAATCTGTACATTATCAACTCGATCCCTAGCTCTCGTGGCGTGGTGGTCAATACCTTATAACGTGGCTTATCACACGGACGATTGAATTAGTTCACAGTTCTTATAAAAGTTTAAATTGAGATACAAGTTATGCCTTGGTCACATTTGCTCCAATTTTCTCTACAGCGCCCGGCCGATTGAGTATTTTGTTCAAAATTGAATACAATATTTGAACAAAACACTCAATCGGGCGGGCGCCGGCCGATGGATCGGAGCAAATGTGACCAAGGCATTAAAGGGATCCAACACCTTACAAAACTTCTTAACGGAGAGGAATAAGGGAAAATGCTTGCCGGATTCTGAATCTGTGTATTTTTTAATGATTTTTCACCGTCTTAGAATTTCAATTTTTTTCCTTTGAAAAAATGAGATTTGCATTGTTTTCCAATTAGAAAAATGAGTAAACATGAATAGCTCGAAATCTATCGGTGAGATTTTGTTTTAAAAAATCTAATTACCCTAACCTTAGTTCATCCAGTAGTACGTTTTTACTGCAAAGTAGTGTTTTATATGCAGCTTAATAGCATAAAATATGTTGAATGAAGCATATGGTGTGGATTAGTCGTGTGACACACAAACTGACCAATACATGAGGGTATTAGCTACTTTTCACATAAACCAAAGGAGGATAGTGCTTTTATTTCAACTGGGAGCTTACCTCCACACGACTGAATGATCATGTGACCATGGTGGTGGTCCCCTTTAAGAACGTATAAAAGGGCATATACACTATGATTGTAAACTTCTAAATAGGATCTACACGTAAACTCTAACAAACTCATGTGTGTCGACCAATGAACCGTGATCCAAATTCAAAAAAATAATAAGCTGAATATGTAAAGTATCCAATCAAACATTTTGACTACCATTTTGATACACTAATCAATCCAATCTGTGCTAGTGATTCCCGGAGCGAGCCATTTTGTTCCATGATACACTTTTCGCCAGTAGAAACGGAAACTTTAGCGAAACAAAACTTTAGCGAGATGGTCCCTAAAACTCTATTGCCGAATTAAACTTTCCCGGACCAGCAATCAAGAAAATGGAAAATTACTTGGGCGAGCTTATAAGCTTATTATTAGGTTACCATGAAGCATTTATTCACCAACAAGATTGGTTGCATTTTTGTAAACCCCGAGTTGTAAACATGTATATCACAGTTATTAGCTCTATATCACCGTTATTAGCCCTATAATTAAACTTGCCTTACGAGGAATGGCGTGTCACCATCAAACCGTAAGTCGTTTATGTTTGTGTATCCCCAATCAATGTGCTCAAACCGTACAGTAGGTGTTAATACTCGACAAACAATCAAATAAGGAACAAACTCGGCTAATTCACTATCAAACTTTGTTCTATTTATTATTATTATTAGGAATAAATACTAGTATATTCTCATAAAATAATCGTGTCATTCATGTTAGTGATAAGTTGTCACGTGACAGTAGATATCCAATCAAATAACAGATTTTGTGATCGAAAAATTATTTCTGTAATGTTTTCATCATTTAGGGCAACAAAACATGATTGCAAATCGATGAGGAAGCACTGAGGTATGTATAATTTATGTATTCGAAACGAAATTCAGCATCTGGATGTCGATCTGTATTCTTCACGGTATTATCGCCCACCGATATTTTTTCATATTTTTCTACGAATTTTTATTTTGGCGTCTCTCCTTAAACGCTAAATTTCGCCAAAGTTTCCACTTCTACAGTATGTATGGTATGGTATGGTTCTTCATTTCCTCCAATTTGGAGAGCAAATTAATACAAAAAAAACAAATTATTAAATTACAATGATACAATAGATACAAAATAACAAAATTGTGGCGAAATGAGTAAGATAAGGTAATATTTACTTACGACGTGAATTCTTTAAGCATAGCGCTTATTTGATTGGAACTTAGGTTAATAAATTAATTTCCCAGCTAACAATTTTACGTTGTGATAACGTCGTCAGAATATATGTCTCAAGTTGTAGCAACGTTAAATATGGAACGTTGTAGGTACAGGAAGGTGTGGACTCGCACAGATGTTTAAAGAACGTTACATTTGACTTAAATATCACGTGTCAGGAACGTAGTAGCGACCTTAACAATTACGTCGCTAAAATAACGAAACTGTAACGTACTTACATTACGTCATATATACGTGGCCAATCTAAATTTCTGGTAACGTTGATATGGAACGTTGTAGGTACAGGAAGGTGTGGACTCGCATAGATGTTTAAAGAACGTTACATTTGACTTAAATATCACGTGTCAGGAACGTAGTAGCGACCTTAACAATTACGTCACCAAAATAACGAAAATGTAACGTACTTACATTACGTCATAAATACGTGGCCAATCTAAATTTCTGGTAACGTTGATATGGAACGTTGTAGGTACAGGAAGGTGTGGACTCGCACAGATGTTTAAAGAACGTTACATTTGACTTAAATATCACGTGTCAGGAACGTAGTAGCGACCTTAACAATTACGTCACCAAAATAACGAAAATGTAACGTACTTACATTACGTCATAAATACGTGGCCAATCTAAATTTCTGGTAACGTTGATATGGAACGTTGTAGGTACAGGAAGGTGTGGACTCGCACAGATGTTTAAAGAACGTTACATTTGACTTACATATCACGTGTCAGGAACGTAGTAGCGACCTTAACAATAACGTTGCCAAAATAACGAAACTGTAACGTACTTACATTACGTCATATATACGTGGCCAATCTAAATTTCTGGTAACGTTGATATGGAACGTTGTAGGTACAGGAAGGTGTGGACTCGCATAGATGTTTAAAGAACGTTACATTTGACTTAAATATCACGTGTCAGGAACGTAGTAGCGACCTTAACAATTACGTCACCAAAATAACGAAAATGTAACGTACTTACATTACGTCATAAATACGTGGCCAATCTAAATTTCTGGTAACGTTGATATGGAACGTTGTAGGTACAGGAAGGTGTGGACTCGCACAGATGTTTAAAGAACGTTACATTTGACTTAAATATCACGTGCCAGGAACGTAGAACCAACCTAAACGATGACTTCGCCAAAATAACGAAAATGTAACGTACTTACATTACGTCATAAATACGTGGCCAATCTAAATTTCTGGTAACGTTGATATGGAACGTTGTAGGTACAGGAAGGTGTGGACTCGCACAGATGTTTAAAGAACGTTACATTTGACTTAAATATCACGTGTCAGGAACGTAGTAGCGACCTTAACAATTACGTCGCCAAAATAACGAAACTGTAACGTACTTACATTACGTCATATATACGTG